AGAAAAAAATACAGAGAGGCTATCAACTGACAGTTTTAACTGTCCAAGTCAGGTGTATCTCTTTGATCTTCTACACTCATCTCTCCAATGCGCCCTGTTTGGTAAGCACTTTGCCCCCAGCCCTCCATGACGAAAGTGGGAGATCACCAGAGGCCTATTTCCTGGGTAGATCCCACAAGTGTATCTTGGGCTCCCACTGTCATCCATAGCTTTCTGCAAACTGATTCTCACGATCTAGGGACTGATACCAAGTCCCCCTTGAATTTAGATTATAGGATTTACAATCCTTCCATGACTGATGATGGTGTGCTTCTTCCATGTGGACTTCGGTGACATCTCACTTAGACGGCTGCTTGTCTGGAGACAAGCCTTTAAGACCCAAGATGCTATTTTATCTGATAACCGGGCACCACTAATTTCTTTACCTCATTTGGCTGCAACACCCATGTCTTCTGTGTTGCCTTCCTGAGGGTATCAAGCAGGGCCATGATGTCAGAACTAATTGCTCTTAGGTTGGGACAAGGATTTCGTGCGAGCCCCAAACCCATTCCTGGATCTGTGTGTGTGTGTGTGTGTGTTTTAATCTGCCTTTGGTCCCCTTTCAAAACCTCCTTGTCGATTTATGTTAAAAAGTCATATCAATCATCCCCCTGGGGCATAACAATCTTCCAGTACTATTGTCTTTGATTAGCCCCTTGTACTGATTTTTTTAAAGCCCGTGTGAGAGACGGGTATCGGGCCAACGTAGGCTAACTTTACCTCACAGTACCTGAATTATTCACTGCTCAGCATCAGTCCTTTCATGACTGGATGCTGTTTACACCAACAATTGGGGTTAATTGTCAGGGAAATAATTCTTGGGGCATTGCAAATTATTGCTTACATACTTGGAAGTTATGGCGCTGACTACTGAGATTTGAGACTGGTTAAAACAACCCGGTATCCAAGAAGATATTGTTTCGTTTGGTTTTGTTGGGAAGGCTGATAGGACCCTTTTCTGTAGCTATGTCGTAGCTTCCTGGCAGACGTTGGCTACAATAGCATAAATGCAGCATCATGACTTTGGGGAGCCCATGTGGCACAAGCAAGTTAGTTGGTATTTATACAGTATAAGTCTTTGAATAATGATACACGGAATATAAATTACTAAATTTATCACTATCATCTTTTTTCCTTTTATTAATAAATCATTTTTT